AAGAAAACATACCCACAAAATAAAGAAAGAAAAGAAAACATACATGTAAGATGAAATGAAGAGAAAAAAAAAATGAGCAAGGTAACGGGGACACAAAAGCCCAAGAAGGTTGGGGGCCCATTATTATTTTACAGAGGTCAGCAATGTTCTCCAGTAAGAAGCCTGAAGGTATAAGAATGAACCACAAGAAATTCAAGGAAGGAATATCTAGGCAGAGGTAAAGTTCAGAAATCTAGAGATGGAACATGCAGAGTATGTCTGACCAAGTCTTTGGAGGAAGGTGGGTAAAGTCAAGGAGCAGGAAAAATTAAATTTTTTTCAACATGTAGATTTTGGGTTTCAGTCTGAGACGAGGACCCTGGAAGGTCTGAGCAGAAGCAGAACGTGATATGGTCTAAACTACCATCAATGCGGAATACGAGACAGGACGGCGCCAAGGGCGATGGGAGACCAGGTTAAGACGAATTATATGGGAACAGGGCAGGAGCAGTAAACAGTGACAAGCAAACTCTGGATACAGAGTCAGGACTGGGAGAACTTACTGGCTGACTAGAGACAGGAGCAGCCAAGACGATGACAGGTGCCGAGATCGAAGCCAGCGATTCTCCTGCCTCAGGGGGAGCAGCGTCTCCAGGAGAGCACGTGCACAGCACGGGGCCTCACTGGGGCCAGTCCATGCGGGCACAGGAGGCCAGACTGAGCACAGATGCTCTGACAGAGAGACACTAATCCACCATCAGACTGCAAGATGTACGGATCACTTCTGATGGCTCATCTTCTCAGTGAACAGGAAGCAAGGTCATGACCTGAGACGGAGCGAATGAGAAGCAAGGAGATGGTGGAGGTTTGCAAGAGGAGACATTACTGCCGCCAAGTGGGAAAATCGACACTCAGGAAGTGTGACAGGATTTCAGCAGCACTGAAGGACTGAAACGAGCTCAATAGCCAACATTTAAAGTGAGACCATTTAATGACGTGGCATTTCACAATTCCCATCCAAGTGCACAGAGGTCAGAGTTGGATTTACCCATGATTAGGCCCAGAATTTAGCTAGACGTGTACAATTGGGGTGGGGGGGGGGGGCTTCCCTGGTGGCTTAGTGGTAAAGAATTCACCTGCCAATGCAGGAGTCGTGGGTTTGATCCCTGGGTTGGGAAGATCCCCTGGAGAAGGGAATGGCAACCCAATCCAGTATTCTTGCCTGGGAAATCCTATAGACAGAGGAGTCTGGCAGGCTACACAGTCCATGGGGTCGCAAAAGAGTTGGGCACAACTAAGCAACTAAACAGCACAGGTACATTAGGGGAAGGATCATGCAAAGTGACTGTGTGAGGAAGAGAGAGAGGAGGAGGTGTTCTGGAAGATATTCAGCAAATGCTGAGGTGAATCATAAAAGGAGACAGTGATACGAGATTCCCAAAATCTTTCACCTAAAACCTTGCAGTGATGGCCCCAGGTCTCTTCACCAAATCCAAACTCCTCCAACGGACAGTCCATGTCTTTCCAACCCATTCAATCACTGGTTGTTGCTACTGTTCCAACATAACTGGCGTTTCAGCCACAGAGTCAACCTGCAAACCCTCTGGTACCAAGTCTTCCCAAGTTTTTCTAAAGGCTTCCCGGGACTCTGCTGGAAGAAGTTCGTCCTCAACCAGAAAGAATTAACACAAGTTGTTAAAAATGGGCCTTATCTTCAAACTAGCCGAAGTGAAGTGAAAGTCGCTCAGTGGTGTCCAATTTTGCGACCCCATGGACTATATCTTAACAGTTCAGTCACTCAGGTGCGTCCGACTCTTTGCGACCCCATGAACCGCAGCACGCCAGGCCTCCCTGTCCATCACCAACTCCCAGAGTCCACCCAAATCCATGTCCACTGAGTCGGTGATGCCATCCAGCCATCTCATCCTCTGTCGTCCCCTTCTCCTCCTGCTCTCAATCTTTCCCAGGATCAGGGTCTTTTCAAATGAGTCAGCTCTTTGCATCAGGTAGACAAAGTATTGGAGTTGCAGTTTCAACATCAGTCCTACCAATGAACACCCACGACTGATTTCCTTTAGGATGGACTGGTTGGATCTCCTTGCAGTCCAAGGGACTCTCAAGAGTCTTCTCCAACACCACATACTCTGCATATAAGTTAAATAAGCAGGGTGACAATATACAGCCTTGATGTACTCCTTTTCCTATTTGGAACCAGTCTGTTGTTCCATGTCCAGTTTTAACTGTATAGTCCATGGAATTCTCCAGGTCAGAATACTGTAGTGGGTAGCCTTTCCCTTCTCCAGGGGATCTTCCCAACCCCAGGGGTCAAACCCAGGTTTCCCACACTGCAGGCAGATTCTTTACTAGTTGAGCCACAAGGGAAGCCCAAACTAGCAAGCCTGCAATTAAATAATCACTGAAGCTAGTGGCTGGGCTGCAAATGTAACTTTGCTGTAGGAAATCCTTCTGTGTAATATAGATTCTGATGGTATTTACATGCTGGGTGTGTCCACAGTTCTCTGGATGCCCCTCTTAACTAGCTCCACAAGAAAAACCAAGATAGCAGCTGTCTTCCTATATCATCTCACCTTTCATTCTTTTCTTTTGTTCCGTCCCTAATAATTTAAAGTTTCCATTATATATTAACAATAATCAGTTTCGTCTGCAGATCAAGCCTTTATTAAGAAATCTGCAACCTCTTACAAATCCTAATCATACTTTGGTATATGTCTCATTTGTTTTTAACATATTAAAATTAGTTAAAGACAAACAAACAAGAATTCCTTTGACAACAAGAAATGAGCTCTGCAGCTGCTGAACCTGTTTTCAAGAGGAGGAGGTATAGGTTTATTACACCACCAAGGGAGGTTCCAGTCACACTCCTTAGAGAATGTTGTTCACTGAGGCAGGTATCTATTCCCATGCCAATGTAAACAAAATGCTGGCCAGCTGTCAGGAACAAAAAGGGAAAAAGTTCACTCAAGCACCATCACCCAGAATTAAGGCCATGGCCTGCTGTTAGGAGAACAGAGGCTTATGTAATCTTCTAAAAACAAAAAGTCTATGAGAACAATTTCTTCAGGAAAAAGAGGAACACTTATTTTTCTACTTTGGCATAAATAATAAAATATATCATTAAACTTTTTTTTCCTTTCCGCAATCTCTTTTGAAATTTTCTCTTCTCTGATTTCACTTTCTCTGAGGCTCTTGCGATTCTCCCACCAGCGCAAAGAGTTCAAAGGAGCTAGTATGTTACAAATTAGCAGGGGTCAAGAATTGAAGTCATATAAAAACACATTTTCCACAGGTCTGTGCCCTAGTATCTTTACCATCCAAGTAAATGTCAGCTGAGCAAACAAAATTCTCACAACGATTTCATGTGACTGAAGTAAAAGTTAATTTATATGAAGAAAGGAGGAGAAAGATATATGTTCTTGAAAAGGAGAAGCTGAGGAAGAACACCATACCTAAATTCACATGATTCATAACATCTAGAAAAGGTCTGACAAATCACATCTTATGCATGAGACAGAGACACATGGAGAGGGACTTCCCCACCACAGGCATATCTTCACATTCTGTCCCTTACATAAAAGCATCTCACATGCAAGCATTCACAGAAATTCTGGAAGCAAGGTGTAAGTGATAATGTGGCATGATGTATATTAAAATTAAGAAGTATGTGGGGGTAAAGAGATTAAATGTCATTGGCACAAGATGATTTTATTTCTGCAAATTCATGTAAGTCCTATATATCAGGATATAAAATAAATTAATGCAATGTGATATTTTCTAACTCAATACTCAAAGCTCAGCACACAAAACAATGATTTTTCAAAGCAGTTAATGATGATTTACGAATGAAGAGTCTGCTTCAACCACGATAGAGCACTGTGGTTCAAGCGCTGACCACTCCACTGTCAGAGCACACGGCCGTAACGCAGGACAACCATCCTCCCACTTCCCTCAGTTTATGGCTGTGAACATGGACAGGAAGGGGATCAAAGCAGAGGGGATCAAAGTGTCTTCTTATGCCTATAAAGCCAGTCATTTTCACAATACTCTTCTTCCTCCTCAAACCCAAACACTAGAGCCCTCCACTCCTTACCCTTTCATCTGTTTTCCTGTTTGGCAAGACAGAAAGATGAAACACGGGGTATCAAGACACATGAAAGTTATAAAGTAAGGTTACTAAACAAAATTATTTTCTAGCAAATCAACAAATATGCAAAAATCTAGTAAATAAGAGAATCTCCCATAAATAAGGCTCAGCTAATGGTTTTATCCCATGAAATAAGCTACCTCCCTGTCTTCCATTCAGGAGAAACATAAGCTGTATAACCCTGATATGTTTACATGGCACCTTCTACATCCTGAACAATTTTAACAATAAAGAATGATACAACTGTCATGAATGTTGTCATGAACAACAGCTTCCAGGTCAACACTTTAAATAAAATGATCTAAACACTTAAAAATGATCTAAATTATACTGATATTACAATATTTGTACACGGGCTGCTTTTTTAAAATAGAGACATATATATAATAGGATAAAGTTTTTCTCTGTAATATATAGACATATATAATAGGATAAAGTTCATTTTTCTCTGTAAATTCATCTAAAAGTTTATCTGTGATTACACCCTATCAAGATCAGAAATGTTAGATTATACTCAGAGATAGGTAAATGCCTCAGAAGTGCTTTTACTATCAAAAGAAATAATGATATTAAGAAGTGCATGTATTTTCATGCATCAAAGTGTAAAGGTCGCTTCACTATCTTTGCTGTTTCTATAGAAAGGCAGCTGACACAAAACCAACTTAATTCAAGATGTTAAAATTAGTTAAACAAAATTAGCCAAAGCCCTGAAGTTGAATCACATGATCTTGGTGTTCTGGGCTGATGGATCCCTCTGATCAAAAGGAGAGTAAACAGCCAAGTAAGGTGCTTCTGGAGTGTATTAGGTCCCCAATCAACGACGTAGGATCACTGACCTTTTAGAATAAAATGCAGAGTATAAAAACGTTGGTGACAATTTATTTAATTTAGGATGAACCGCTGATAAAGTCTTCATACCTCTGGAAACAATCTGTATATCCACCTTGAAAATACAAGTAGCAAACATTCCCAACACTTGCACTCTGAGACCCTGGAGCACAGGAACTTGTATGAAGCAGAAAGGTTTGATTCCACGACCATTCAGCCTTTAGCCCTTCACACCCCTACCCTTTGCCAACTTCTTGCTCCGTCACCCCTCCAACCCAGACTCCATCAGCAGGAATTTACAATTATGATGCTCCCACTGATGCAAAGAGCTATTTTATAACAATGCTTTCAAACAAAGGAAAACCACGTGACTCTTCTATTACTTAAATGTAACAGCATTGACTTAAGATTCTAAGTACAGAAATGACCACTTTTACTATAAACAAGAGTTTATTCTTCAATCACAGTCCTTCTGTACTTCCCCAAGTTAAGATTCTGGGTAAGACGAACATGAGGCACTGTATCAGGGGTTCAGATTTTAAGATTAATTTCAAAGTGAGAGAAGTCAAACCTTAGGACTTTCTAAGAGACCAGAAAGCTGTGTTCATATTATCCCTCTTTCTGGTTTCTATTATAAACATTGTAAGGTTTTAATCATATTCATATACATGAAATCTTTTCTTAAATGGAACAAATCAGAGTTTCTGTGCTTAAAATGTTATGATTCAAATTCCCTTAAAAAAAATAATCACCATTGACAATAAGAGTCTGAGCTATGTAAGTCTAGCAGAATCATGAGGGGTACACATTAGTGGCCATGTTTAAGCATGCTATGATGATAGCCTTCCAGAATTTTCAGCTGAGCTATTTAAGATATGTATCTGCTCATATGTAAATACATTAAAGAATACTTATATATGACTTAATAAATTCAGATTGAAATCTGCCTATAAATTAAATTCCCTAAATATTACTTACTTCCACTTATTTATGTCTTCTACTGACAAGTTGTATTATATTTGCAACCAAGAACTCACTAATATAAGGCCCTCTGAAACTTCACCTTCATCTAGCAGACAGTAAGACTGACCTCTGAGGTGAGCAGAATGGTACACAAGTTATGTTATTTTTAATTAAATCTTCATTATCTTGATGTACTATGAATTCTCAGACTATAAAATGACTCTCTCTCTATAAATATAGTTTAAATGTTTAAAAACTTAAATTTTTAAAACTCTAAAAAGACAAAAGAAATTCTTCCCTTTACATCACTTCCCATTACATCAGAAATATATTTCTTCCAGTTAATTTGCCTCTCTGAGTTAAACCAAAGACCACAATTACATTCTGAAGTTCAAAAAGGACCAAAAATAATAACATATGCAAAAAGTGATTAAAAGTGATATGCATTAAGTATTAAAAGTGATATAGTTTTGGCTTCAGAATTTTATTTTAGAGGTTGTGCAAGGCCAGACTATGAGCCTGTTTGCAAACCTGAGAAATCTATCAGATGCGTGAGATAAAAGAGAAAAGTGAAAAGGCAAAAGTAAATACATGTTCCATGTGTACAATCATTCAGTAGTAATATAACCATTCAAGCTCACCATCGATTCAGTTAATCATGCAAAGTAACCATTCACATGCCTCTCTTCACATGAGGCACATTATAGTGATTTCTAGACCTTCTGCTAATTTAAAATACTTGTGTTTATTAAAAAGTAAGCTTTAAACTTGATTTAAACAGTAATTAAATAATAGAAGCTCAGGCACTCAACTGAAATTAAGACTTGGGTCACTTTGGAAGTATTAAAGATAGTGTGTAAGAGCAGTCTATAAAAGTATCGCCACAGGCTGATCCGCCTGGCCTGGACATGCTCCCTTCTGTGTGCATTTTCAGTGGGACTGATTCTTCTCACCTCCATCTACTGGTGCTGCATGGAGGCTGTGGTGATAATGGGCAGTTTATTCATAAACACAAATCTTCTCCTGAAACATCTTCTAAGTGATGTGTTAACATATTAAAATCACAGAAAATCTTTCCAAAATACCCTTTGCAACACAAAAATATTTGTCACTATCACTGATGGCATCTAGCTTCTTCAGATCCTTTTCCCTTTCACAGAAGATTTCAATTACAAACAACACTACCCAATGAGTGATTTCATGTAAAATATCTTCTCGCAAATTTTCTTAATGTCACTGATCCTCTATAAACTCTAGAAATGTATACCGTCAACTTGCACAACAGAGTCCCAGTGCCCAAGAGGCTCAACACTCATATGTCAGTCATGGCTGCAGGGCCAGGGAAATGAGCGTTCTGCTGGGCTCCTGCATTCTTCACATTGTGCTCATGGACAAAGGCAGGGTAGTTTCTAGGTGCAGGATGGGGTGGGGACAAGGCCCTTGTGTCCCACTGGTTTCCACCACGTTGAGAGCGATCACCGGCAGCCGAGAGCCTGGATGGTTGGGGTGGGAGGGGAGCACAGTTAGTCAACAGGAGAAGATGAAGGTGTAAGAGGCAATAAAGGCGGCCATGGGACCAGCATGCAAAACTGCCACAAGCAGTTACCAGCATCTACTCCATGCAACGAGAGCATTCAAGAGCAACAAATGGGGAAATCCACAAAGTTACATGTAGTGGAAAATGGCAATATGGAAACATGTCAAGTAATCAGAGTCAGGTGAATTAAATGAAGAAGGAATTTCACCGAGAGCAAGACACTCTGCATCTGTCCCCAATCCTGCTATCAAAATCAGAGGCAGAAAAGTTGCCTGAGGTCCTAATGAGAAGAAAAAATGCTTATAATCTACTTCATTCAAGTATCTGAAAGGATAAGTTTACATAAGGACAAAGCCACATACAGCAAAGGGCAATTGTGAAAAGTTATTTCACAAATCAAGTGGCATAAAACTGAAGTCCATGAAACAAAATTCAGAAAGAACATTAAAAAAAAAAATCTGCCCTCACAGAGGCTATGTAATTGGACATCAATGTTTCCAATTAACAATGGAGAAACACTGTTCCTTCTACAGTGAATTAAATTCAACAGATACAGATAATGTGATGAGAAAAAGCCCCTCCAAGAAAGTGTTAGTGCCTTTTATCACAAGTGCTATAAGCAAACATATGAAAGTAAGAGAGTGAAACATGCAAAGAAGCAATTTCTGATTAGAAATGATCAGAGTCCTCCCGTAGAAAGAAAACAGCTGCCAGAGTTTTGTGCATGACCAAAAGGGCAGCACACATGTAAGGTAACTACAAAGGGAAAAAATCACCCCAGTTATAAAAATGTCTAAGGACAGACATTCTATTCAACTAAGGCCTGCATCTTCATCTTTCTTCCTTAAGGAAACTGAAAATAAATTAGCTAAAAGGATTTTCAGGACAAATTTGGAAGCCTTTTTTGTTTTTTTAAACAATAAAATTATCGCCTTCAACTGCAATACAAGCTGTTCATCAGATCTAACCCAGAAATAGCAGATCTAGCCCTCAATATAGGGTCTCTAAAAATTTAGAAAATTAGGTTTATGTTCTCCCGTACATATGCAAGATTTTCCGCATAGTACTCAGTTTTGTTTATAAATAGTTAATGAATTTTAAATACATACATTCTCAAAAGATAGTTTAAATATTGGGTAATTCTATACTAACATACCAAATCATTCACTCAAATAATGATGTCATTTAGAAGATATCAGCAATAAAAAGCTACAGAACTGAACAAGGAGTACATTTAGATTAAACTGGTTAAAAGTTATCTGCCAGAAATAGAATAGTCCATTATTCCACCCAACCGTCCAAACCCAGGGAGCATTTCCAAATTTCATTAACATCACTTTCTAAAGGAGGACTGTTTTATATTCATGTGAAAGTATTAGAATCAAAGCATGCAGTAACAGAAATGGAAATGTAGATTTATCTTAAGTTAAGGCTGGGGAACCCATCAGCTCCAAGACAGGCCAGCTCCACGCCTAGTGCCAGGCCTTGCTGACACACACAGAGGCGTGCTGGGCCGGAGGGCCACCACTCTGCTCCATTTCCGCAGAGGTGGTCACAATACAGCTATATAGAGGGGGACACACAGCTCCAGATTTCTCCTTCTTCCTGAAATTCAATACTCAGAGACTCAGCATTCTTTTTTCAAAGTTTGCATCAAAGGAACTGAGTAAATGCCTAACAAATCATTTAAACAGATTTAAATATGTACCAATTAAAACTGAGAAGCTAAAGATTTAAACATTATACAGATACAAACAAACCAGATTCTCATTCTGTATTAACATAAAATGTAAGCATGTATTAAATGAGCTCTTTTCTAATTGAAATCTCAGTACTATGTTTCCTTGCCAAAGACGTGGCAGTAACGAGGAGACAAAACATAGCCTCTTACTGGAGCTGCGTTTTCATAGGAAACTGAAGAAACTGTTTTTAATGGCTTAAAAAAAAAAAGACTAAAATTTGACATGTAGAAACCTCACTGTTTGTCCTTTAAGTGTGTGCCCACGTGCACACACACACACAAAGTACCCCAACCACATTCTCAAGTAGAAAGGGGGGAAAAAAGGATAATGGGAGAAAACAAGGGCAAAAATCTCCTTGATCTTAGAAACTCATCAAGTTATTTGGAACTGAAGCAAAAATATGTCCAATCATCAAAAGCAAAGCACCTTGCAGTTAGTTAAGCCAAAATAACAGTGAAAAAACAATTACATGGCAAAGACTGAAAATAATCACCAACCACTGTTGACCCACCACCATGAAGGAAGAGCTGGTTGCACAGAAAGCTGACCCAAACCTTGAGATCACCAACAGAAACTCATTAGATTTCAGGTACTACATAAACTGAGAGCAAGAGAAAAAGAGAAAGACCCTATCAATTATCAAAGTTCATTTCATAAACAGACATAAAACTTGAACAGATGATGCCCAACATGACCACTCAATCAAATAATCCCCAAGGAGCCCCCCAGGCCACATACATTCATTCAGGAAGGGATGAACCTCATGGATTAACCCCGTAAGCCACAAAGTATCCATATCTGTGCACTATTAGTCTCAAAAAAAAAAAACAAAAAAAACCCTGGGACTCTAAACAAATGAAGTATCTTCCCATCATAAGATTATTCCTCCAACTCTTCCCCATGGAATATTTCATGCTTTGTTTTACTGGACTATAATTACGGTTCTGTTTTGGCTTTATCTCTAGTCTTTAAGAAAGAAAACACAGCCAAAGCAATAGCATCACGTTGTGTAGAATAACGTGGACTGAAGACATGAAAGGTCCTATCGAGTAGCACTAAAGTCTTTTTTTAACAGAAAACCACTGCCACTCCCAGCTCACACTAACCAGTCAGGAGAGCCATCTCACAGGCTTCACTGACACTGTCACCCTGTTTCATCTGCATCCCTTACTCATCCCAATATGATAGCTCAACAATATGCTTTTTTTGTCAGCTTACAAGTAAGAATAATTTGTTTTCAATCATATTTCAAGTAGCCTAAGATTATGGCTGGGGATTCAGAACACCCTTAGGCAAGCAACACTTTATTTTGGTTTAATGAATAAACGAACCATTTCTTGTCGCGCTGGTCTGTTAAAGGACTCCTTGGAAGATTCTCGACCTCCGCGACCACAGGACCAGCGGGAACAGAAGGAATCACAGGCACAGTGGACCTCACACCCCAAGCCTTTGGACATAAATTATAAAAGATCTCTTCACTGGTAAGTAGAATATTAACATGGAATACTAGCTACACAGTGAACAGATATGATAGTAATAAACACAGCAATAAACAAATGCTTGAAAGTTATATACCACCTTTGGGACAGATAATAATCTAACTGAACATTAGTATTTTTTCCATTTTACAGGATTTATAGGGTCAGAAAATGTTTTATTATAACATTAAAACCTTTTCTATTATAACATCTTAAGGGAATAAAGTAGCAGGTCTCATATGGTTGAGCCATTTTACAGATAAGAAAAAGAAAATGCATAAAACTTTCCTGAGGTTATACTAGTATGAGAACTGGGTTAATACTACTGCTGTCTATCACACTGATAATTAACCACAGTATTCTAGTGCTTTAGAAGCTTATCTCTCTTACCTGTTGGGAACCATTACTCTGAGCTGAAACATTGTTGTGAACACTGTAACAGGGGAAAAAAAAAAAGAAAAGAAAAAAATTACCATGAGCCCCTAAAACTAAGCACAGACGACGTCCAGAAAACACCTGCTCTCACTGGCAGACACTCTGCTGCTGCTTGATGCTTCCATATACCTGTGTTCTACTTGTGCTTTAGATACACACTTCACTCCTAATCCTGTTTATTCACTGGACAACATCTGTCAAAGACAGCAAAATAAAGACAGCTGCACAAATGATTCCTTGAGGCATTAAGTGCAAACATCCACATAAACTTACCTGTCACTTCTGTATATTCCTACCCTCTCAAGATTTTCCAAGGTCACTCAGCATTTTATAACTCAATAGGCCTTACTATAAACTTAGAAGCTTCTCTATACACCCTTCTCCTCCAAATGATTTACAAGTATGCCGTTAAATCTTTAGTTTAGGCTGTGCTCATTCCCTTCCCACTTCCCCCAAAAAAGCACTTAAAAAACTCAGCATATAATACAACATAATAAACAAAAACAAACCTCAATGCTGGCTAAAAAAAGAACAAATATTCAACAAGAACTCAAAGATGAGATACTGACACAACAGAGTAAGGTAAATATAAGAATTCACTAACTTCAGACCTACTAACACGAGAGTAACTCGTATCCTGAGAAAAGGAACTCAGCTAAGGTAACTGAAAATATATTCAGTATCATTAAAAAACAAAACAAAAAAAACTTCTCTGAAAGTGAGAAAAATAATCTATAGATTTAACGAGAATATTGTATTCCAAGGAGATAAAATGCAGAATTAAATACATTCAGTTCCTTATTGTTATATTACTGACCTTCAAGGACAAGGAAATAACACTTCAGAGAAGAGTTTAAAGAAATGTAAAAGCACATCACTGCCAGTATCAGGCCAGCACAGAGTTCTCCACGGCAACCCTCAAAGAATACCATACCCAGCCAGGATGTCATGCCAGCAACAGGAAATGGGCAAAGCTTCACAAACACAAAACTACTCTGAATACAGGATCCAGGAGCCTTCTCAGAGAGGGAGAACAAAACAGAAGTAAATGATGATGGAAGACACCAATTAAGAAAGAACTCAAGATGAAAAGGCCTTGCTAAAAGGCTAGGGGAGGAGGAATAACCATTTTATATCTCGTATTTTACTAACCACAGCTCTACTACAAGTCAAAGTCACCAGAACAAGCACCTCCACTGCCTGGGTTCAAATCCAAACAGAACCACTAGCTTTGCTCTCTTAACTGCAGTTTCCTTATTTGCATGGGGCTCTTAGCAAAGCACAAAGAACAGTGACAAATACAACTAAACAAATAAACAAAATCTTTAAAAAAATATGTTTAGTGTAGAATCTGTTGCCAAGGCCAGTGGGGAAGAAAACACCTGTCAGGCAGAATTTCTTTTACTAATCTTGCTGTAATTCCCAAAACACACTGTGTTATATTCAGAAACTCTTAAATCTCCATGTTAATGAAAACCCACTCAATCTGTATGGTTCAGAAATGACACATCACTACATGGCCCTTTGGTTACACTCTGAAGCTTTTCCTTCAACTGGGAATAACTCCAGTAGGTGATAGGTAAAAGATGATGGAATAAAACGAGAGGGAAAAAAGCGCTTATAATAAGTGATACAGGACTCTAGCTCCCTGTTTTAGGACAATTTGGAAGACAGGAAGCACTATCCTCTTATCACTGCACCTATTCTTTCACCTCCACTAGTATGAAAGTAACAGATTACTTTTCATTACTGACCCAATGCAGCTTCTTTTTTAAAGAAATGTTTTGCTCTAATGCCGTCTCTATGTATCATTTCTTCCACCATTTCTTCTCTTCCTCTCTTTTCTGTCTTCAAGACTGTTCACTAAGTCTGTGCAAGAAGTACTACTAAATGAAATGTGAACTGTCCTTTAAAATGTCACCTCTTCCTAAGATAGTTTATATTAGTCAAGACTCATGAGGGAGTAGTTAGAAACTAACCTCAGCCAATTTAAAAACCTGTTATTCAAACAAGCACAGTTTTTTAGGTCAAATGGTTGTGCTTTTTCAAACAGTACTGTTCTCCATGGTTCACTGGAGCAGAGCTGCTCATGCAAACAGAAGTCCAAGGGCAGGAATGAAAGGGCGTTCCTGCCAGTCCCAGGCCAGGTTCTCTCAAGCACTGTTAGGAGCAGGGCTCAATAACTTTCAGGAGAGTGGCCCTCCTATAAGTGTCATTCCTAAAATTTTATTCTAATTAAAAAGTAATAAAGTATATGCTTAACTACCCCATTTTTGCTCTGTTTTCCAGAGCCAAAAGCATCGCTCAGGAAGACACAGTAAAATTTAATAAGGTTAAACTAATCTCAATTCTAGAAAAGAGACTATATAGTCATATTCACTTTTTGGTCAGAAATCTATATTTCATAAAAATTAAAAGGAGGACAAACTCCTGCAGATAAAATACTTTTTCAACTACATATCACTTCTTGAATGTTTTCTTTTACATTTCTGCAAGAATCTCTTCACTTTAAGCTCTAACATTCTGTCCCAGCCTGTTTTTCAGGGAAGCAAGACATGATTAATTAAACAAACAAAAGACAAATAAAATACTTTACATGGAACACCTCTTAACATTTCTCCACCATTCTTCTTAAAAGCATAACTTAAAAATAAACCCAAGAAAAACTAAAGTGCATAGCTCAGAAAAGGCAGAAAATGTTTTTACTTAACTAAAAATTCACAGGGCTTCCCTGGTGGCTCAGATAGTAAAGAATCTGCCTGCAATGCAGGAGACTTGAGTTCAGTCCCCAGGTTGGGAAGATCCCCTGGAGAAGGAAATGGCAACCCACTCCAGTATTCTTGCCTGGAAAATCCCACGGACAGAAGAGCCTGGCGGGATACAGTCCATGGGACTGCAAAGTCGGACACAACTGAGCAACTAACACTTTCACTTTCAAAAATTTACAGTGAAAAAATCCCTCACCTTTCTCCCTACTCTACCGATTTATTTATTGTTAACCGCTTACTGACATTTAAAGGAACTTTAGAGGAATCCTTACTCAAAAAACAGAGTGCTTCTGTGATGAGTCACTAATCATAGCCTGGCTTTACCGGCTTTCTAAATGAAAACAAAACTGAATACGACATCACAAGGTGAGACCAACCCTACTCAGCACCCAAAACAACTCCTTCTGAAGGAGCTCTAGTTATACACTTGCTGCATAGGAGATTATACAAGTTTTTTTTTTTTTAAGAGAACAATACTAGATTTGTATGCCTCGAATCTGATAGTTTACCAGGCATTCCAGGAGCCTCTGCTTCACACCAAAGGTTGAGAAGCATTACATGAAACTACACTATTACTATTAATTGAGTCATCAGAAGCAGGACTTCAAGAATCATGGTTTGAAGACGGGGCAAATCCTCTTCCCAGCAAAACAAACATTTGGCTGGTGAAAATTATTTAAAAAAAAAAATCATTAAAAGGAATACATCAAGTGGAGACATTTATTCAAGACAATCTACTCAGTCTGAAAGCTGAGTCTGGCATCTGAAACCCAGTTTTCTCTCCTCCTGGTTCTCCTGTGTTCAGTGCTGTGGAAGCCTCACTCCACGTGGGTGAGGCCAAGAAGACAATCTGCTCCCTGCATCCAGAATGTAAATCAGCTATTTTAAATATACTTGAGAACTAAAAAACCACATGTGGAGAAATAAAAGTATGACAACAGTGCATTCACAAAGAGTATTTTAAACAAAGAAATTATCTTTAAAAAAAGAAATTCTGGTGTTGAAATGTACCATAACTAGAACAAAAAGTTCACTAGAGGAACACACAGATTTTAGCGGACGAAAGAACCAGTGGCTTGAAGGTAGGTCAAATGAGATGATCTAGTCTGAGGGACAGAAAGAAAAAGAATGAGGGAACATGAACAGACTCGGAGGTCTGCAGGTCCCATAAGGAGAGCAACATGCGTGTAATGGGAGTCCTGGAAGGAGAGAGAAAGGAATAGGGAAAAAATGTGAGAAATAATGAGGGAAAACTTCCGAAAGTTGACAAAAACAGGTAAGCCATAAAAAAGCGACCAGAAGGGAACTGGATTGACCACACTTACACCAGACTAAGTAGGCTTTAATACAAAACAGTTACTGGAAAAAGAGAGGAACTTTTTTTGTAATAAAAGAATAAAATAATCATAAACAATATGTGCACCTCACATGAAGTTCTAATACATGAAGCACAAAGAAAGAACCAGACAACTAACTGGAGAGTTTAACAGTCCATGTTTAATAAAGGATAGGACTAGCCCAAGATCAATGATGAAACGGAAGTGAACAACAGTAAGCACCAAACAGCCCTAACAGGTATCTACAGGACATGATGCTCAACAGCAGAATAAACAGTATTCTCAAGTACACACACCTGGACCACTTTCCAAGACAAACTACATTCTGGGCCATAAAACAGGCCTTGACAACTGCAAAGGGATCAAAATCATGTAAAGTACATTCTATAACCACAATGGAATAAAATAGAGAGAGAGGAAAATTTAACATACAAATGTGTATGTTAAGCAAGATACTCCCAAGCAGTCACTAGGCCAAAGAAGCTATCACAAGAGAAATTAGAAAATAATTTGAAGGAATAAAAATGAAAATACAACAGACCAAAACGTATGAAATATGATCAAAGCAGTGCTTGGAGAGAAATTCATAGCTATAAATGTTATAAAACAATAAAGACCTCAAATAGCAATAAACTGATATTCCACCTAAAGACACCAGAAAAAGAAAACTAAATAAAAAGCAAGCAGAAGGAATGAAAAAATATACCAGAGAGAAAGTTAGTGAAATAGTCTATAGAGCAAAACCAAAAGCTGGCTGAAACCAAATGAAACCAAAAGCTGGTTCTTCAAACAGGCCAACAAAACTGACAAACCTTTATCTAGAGTGACCAAGGGAAAAAGACAAAGAACCAAAATCAGAAATTAATGAGGGGTGTGTGTGCTCAGTTATTCAGTCGTGTCCAGCTCTTTCTGACCCCATGGACTGTAGCTCGCCAGGCTCTTCTGTCCATGGGATTTTTCTGGCAAGAATCCTGGAGTAGGTTGCCATTTCCTCCTCCAGGGGATCTTCCCCACCCAGGGATTAAACCTGTGTCTCTTGCATCTCCTGCATTAGCAGGCAGGTTCTTTACCACTGTGCCACCTGGGAAGTCCTGAATGAGGGGATATCACCACAAAGCTTACAAAAATAAAATGGAAAAGAGAAAAATATAAACAACTATATGCCATAAACTAGATAATTTAGGTAAAATAGAAAAATTCTGGAAAGACACAAACTCCTAAACTGATTCAAGATAGAAATTAAATATGAATACATCTACAACAAGAAACTGAGCTGGAAATTTAAAAATCTGACATAAATAAACTCCAGGCCAGATGGTTTTAATGGTGAATTCTACCATATATTTAAAGAATTTTTTACAAATTCTTCCCCAAAATTAGAAGGAAATATTCCCCAACTCATTCTATGAAGCCAGAACCACCCTGATACCAAAACCAGATAAAGATAGTACAAGAAAACTACAGACCAGTGTCTTTGATGATACAGACACACAAATCCACAACAAAACTAGTGAACCAAATCCAGCAACGTATAACATAAAGAAAGATTATACACCATGACCAAGTGGGATTTACCCAGGAATAAAATGAACTGTTTATCTACAAATCAACCTTTGTTCTCTGAGCTCCCTGAGAGCAAGGGTGACAGTTTATGCATCTGCATACCCTCAGTCACACACCAAGAACAGATGCATGTATTATGAACAGCACAGCTACCCAACCCCACTTTTTCTTTAAATCGCTTTATTTGCGTTGCGCCAACTTTATCTGGCACTATGAATTCATTCATTCCCTGCCATGTCCACCATGCTCACGGACAAGGGAACACTCTAACAGGCCTTCAACAAATATTGGTGGGATTAATGACAGCAACTACAGAACTGTTAAAACATTCTAGTGTCAACCCCTAAGGAGCAAGACATCACCCACCTGAGTTCTTCAGGTTTTCCGGTACTTGCTGACAGAAAAGAGAAAACATCCCATTAGTTTCCCTCCAACATGATAAACTGCTTTACCACTTATAGTATTATTTAACTTTCTGTCCCACAGCACAGCATGCAGGATCTTAGTTCTTCAACCAGGACTGAACCCGTGCCCCCTGCACGGGAAGCACGCTGGACCACCAAGGGAAGTGCCTACAAAAGCAAATCTTGATTAACGGCTTTGTAAGCTACTTTCCACTGTATTTAAAAATCTTCATTTCACAAAAGGTGTTCTGGGGTTCATGCCATTAAAGTGAGTAATAACAATTATTTCCAATTTTTAAATAAGGCAATAAAATAAGTATACATTAAAAAAAGAAAAGAATCATCTGCAAGCCTCTAGAATAAGCTGATAGTGAAAAATCATCAATGGAGTCTATGAGGTATTTAAGGATATTAAACAAACTGAAATGGTTTTATTTATAGCTACATATTACTTAATTTATAGGTACATCAAAACATATGACTATAAGTCAGTTTTTTGAAAAAACTGATACTGCCAACATCAGGTCATGGCAATTATTTCTAACTCTGACACTGGACATACTTAAAATGCAATCTAGGGACTTCCCTGGTGGTCCAGTGGCTGGGACTCTGTGTTCCCAATGCAGGGGGCCCGGGTTTGAGCCCTAGTCAGGGAACTAGATCCCACATGCTGCAACTAAGAATTCACACGCTGCAACTGAAAGTCACACATGCCGCCAACAGGGATTGAGGACCCGAGTGCCACAACCAAGACTCAGCACTGCCAAACAAATGATTTTTAAAAATTCAACTCTGATTTGAAAACAATCGCAAGTTTTAGCTTACTGGTCAAAGTAAACCATTCTTTGTATTATATAACTAAAGTAACAAACCACAAGGAACATTTATGAATTTGGAAACATCTATGTACCATGTACACTGATGATTAGATATAAAAATTACACTTAACAGAATCTTTAATATTCTAACACAATACAAAATAATCTGTACTTAAAATTTATTCATCATATACCAATGTTTTAAAAAATACTTAAGGGAGATCTGAAAGTCACAAAGGGAGGGAAGATGATGCTCTACAGAAGAACTAAAAGAGTAAGAACAAAAACTGAACACAAACTTGGCACAGTGTCTGAGCAGTGATTAGCTTCAAGTTTAATCTCAGCAACAGTATAGGCAGTTTTACCCCTTGTATTTTTTAGAACTGATTATGCCAGGAGCAAATGCAATTATTTAAATTAAGAGTATTTTAGCACTCTGATATAACAGAGGTAAGACTGAGACATCTTCCTCTCCAATACAGCACAAGATAAACTGTCAGGAAGAACAGTCCTTGGAAAACAGGGCTGCATCTCACCTTTCACTTGCAGAGTTCGTCGAGAATACCGTTTGCTGGGTCTTCTTTCAAAGGATGTTGATCTTCTTGCTTTATTGGTCTTAGTGGTCTGATACTCAGTTTTCCCACTAAAATAAATGAGACATTTAACAGGAACAAGAGAATTTCAGGCTTGCAGTAACCAGATACACGAAAACAATAGAAAGTCTATCCTGAGGTTTTCCTTAAAAGAACCTTCCTGAACTTTATCAAGATAGTCTTGATGACTCTCTTTATCACACCATTCTTTTCACTCTTCAGGCTTGTGTGAAAGATGCAACACAACTTATGCTGTTTTTTCCTAATTATGCACATCACCTAAGAACATAAGTGAGTTTGAAATATCTGTGCTTTTATGGAACTCCTCTCTTTCCCACCCACACTCCTCAATGCAAGATGTACAATTAACTCAAGATTTTCCATTAGTTTTTCTAATTGTGATATGTTTTTCAGAAGACTTTCTCAGAAATATTAAAACTATTTTAATATTTGATACTTATCTTCATTGCCATTTAAATTCTGCCAAGAAAATGCTCCCCCGCTTAATGTAAGTAAAATAGAAGCTTTCTTACATGAATTCCACATACAGTCAACTTGCCACATTACTGATATCCATTCCTTCTTTAAATCACACCGAAACATGCTGAAAACTCACCATCAATAAGCTACTCTGAGTAAACCAAAATGTTTCTAGCTTATGACTAACAAACATGGAATATGCAAGAACAATGGAACATCAGGTTTATAAGGACCAGAAATATTATCCAGATTAATATCCCACTAGAACACCATACCCATTTTCTACATGGTATCCAGCTGCTGGATAAAGACTCCTTAAAACTCCTGCTATGTGGATTTAAACCAGGGGTTAATAAATATATAAAGCAAACATCAGTGTTCATCAACAGATGAAAGGATAAGGACGATGTAGTAGATGTACACACAGACTGTTACTCAGCCTTAAAGAAGAATGGAATAATGCCATCCGCAGCAACATGGGTGGACCTGAAGGGCATTACGCTACGTGAAGTCAGTCAGAAAGAGAACGATACTGTATGACAGCACTTACACGTGGAATCTAAAAAATAAACTAGTGACCAGAACAGACTCACAGACACAGAGAACAAACTAGTGGCTACTGGCGGGGAGAGGGAAGGGAGGTGGGGCAAAAGACGAGTAGAGGACTAAGAGGTACAAACCACCAGGCATAAAATGAACAAGCTGCAAGGATACAGCACACAACACAGGCAATATGCCCAATATTTTACATAACTAAACTTTTTTAACAGGAAAAATTCTGTTAAATTACTCCTTTAAAAAAAGAAAAAAGAAAAGAAAACATCAAGAGGGATATGAAATCCATTATACCTTTACAATACATTTTCAGGAAATTACAACCAATAACAATATATACCATTTTTTCTTTGATTTTGGCCAATGAAAAACACTGGCAAACTGATTCATCTTTCTATGCCCTAGCTTCCACATCTGCAAATGAGGAACTGGGCTACATTTTCTGGCCTCTATGAAATTATGAAAGATACAGCAAGTAGCCACAAACATTCACCTGTATCTAAACCGTGATCCTAATCGAATAAATCCTGAGCGATGAGAACTCTTTTGGACAGGGCCTCGCAGTCGGAAGAAGGCATGATGCTCCACAGCACATTTCCATAAATGTTTGCATGCTTTGGGATGATCCAGTCTAAAGACAAACGTATGCTCCTGCTCCTTGCCCTGAAAAAGAAACAGTGTTAACAGAAGTAATTATTAACCTGGATACTCTTGTCGCCTGTTATTCAGCTACAAATATAACCACAGCAATATCAAAAGTCAAATACTAATGAAGCACCTGGTTTGCTTCCTGAAACTCTGACACTCTCTAGAGCCACCTACAGAGACAGGCAGAGTTAAAATCAAACTGTCCATTTTCTCAGCCAATATAAAATTATTCCCAAGAGTTTCCTCTCTAGTTACACGATCTCATTTCTCAGAGATATTAAATGAACCTTTCTCTGCCATACTTCAGGATAAATGAATGTATAATTATAATTAAAAGGTTCACATAAGATATGGCAATATACCTAAGAGCCTTAAAAATGGCCACATTCCTGGTCCTAGTAACCATACTCACAGGAATCAAATTATACTAGTTAATATTCATAGCCACTTTTCTAAGAATTTCACATGAATTGTCTCAATGAGTAGATACTATCATTAGCTCCATTTTACAGATAAGGAAACTGAGGATCAAGAAATTAAGCCCAATGTCACAAAGTTAGTAAGAAAAGAAACTAGACTTTGAATCTAACCACTGAGACACCCGCACCTACATTTATAACAACTAAGCTATACTGTGTCTCCAGGGGAAAAGACTCTCAAAACCAAAATTTACACCCCAAGATTTTCTTCAATCTCATTTATAAAAGTAAAAGCTGGCATAAAACCCTAATTGTTCAAAACATGAGAAAAGTAATCAAGTAAACAATAACATTATTTTAAAAGTACACAGATAGATAAATGAATAAAAGATAAATGAACTAATGCACTACTGGTGATTCATGTTGCAGAATATGATACATAGGTTAAAGTGAATGAACTAGAACTACATGGCTACAGATGCTTAGGTAAAATAAGCAAGCTGCAAAAAAAAAAAAAAAAAAAATCCCCACCTTAATGTATATATGTAATATACATATATATGCAGATTTCTAAAACGTTCTACCATGTATCATGATGTGGTTATATTTACAAAAGGTTAGAAAATATGAGACTGATACCCTGAAAGAATGAGGAAGAAAGGGACAAGCTTTGGCTTAGACCTTAGCTGTATCAAATATACTTTTATTAATTTATCAGTTCTAAAAGGGATCTGAAGTAGCAATGCCAAAAATGTTAAACTGAAGTGAGTAAAATGGTTAACAGTTTCAATTATACTTTTCAGTATATTTTTGAATATTCTGTCATTTAAAAATACTTCATAAACTTTATACACAGTTTCTTAATAACCTTGATACAGGCAGAGATCCTTATACTTTAAGACACAAAACATACATTGGTCACAAAGGAAAAAATGTATAAACTCCATTTCATTAAAATTACAATCTTTTTTATCCAAAGGATACTAATAAAGGAGTCAAAAGGCAAACCAAGGTGAAGATAGTTACAACATATACATCTGACAAAGAAATGAGGCCCAGATAGAAAAAGAACTTCCTTAGTGAGAGGAAAAATACATGACCCAACAGAAAAACAAATGAAAAACTTAAACAGGCATTTCATTAAAAAGAATATCCAAACATGCAACAAATATAAGTAAGTGCTATACTGAAACTGTCATCAAGTAAAACCCTAAAATAATTCCTCTACCAGCATGGATGAAATGAGAAAGAGAACACTGAACACACGCCAAAGAAGAACAGATTAAACCCTCACACATTTCAGGTGGGAGAGTGGCTCACTTGTGTCGACACCGGCACACAGTCCAGCTGTTTCCATAAAAGCCAAACAGATGCACATCCCGTGGCTCAGGGTAGCACTCTTCTCCCCAGCCAAAAATTTTAAAAAAACCTCAAATGTCCATCAGCAGCAGGATGGATAAATATTGGTCTATTCATGTAACTGTACACTACTCAACAGTAGGAATGAGCCAACTACAGTCACCTCCTACAGCAGGGCTGAAAGCTCAGAATCACAGCCCTGAAATATGGAAGGAAGACTCAAAGAGAACAGTCAGTCAGGTGTCATTTATACCAAGTTCAAAAGTCAGGTGAGTGGTTATCCTTGGTCAACTGGACCTGGAGTGGCACACAAGGGAAATTCCCTAATTCTGCTGGAATTCTATTTTCTCACCCTGGTACTGGTCATAAAAGTGTACATAAAAACTCAACAAGCTGTACATTTATTCTTAAACTTTTTTGAATGGAGGTTATATTTCAATGAAATGTACCAACAAAATCTACACAAAGGAAAAAAAAAAAAGAGAGAGAATGTCTTTCTCAAGACAGGGAAAAGCCTTCTGTGACATAAAACCCCGGATCCATAAAAGATGAATATATTCACCTATTTAAAAACTCTTAAAGTGCATGACAAACCCCACAATAAGCACTGTTAAAGGACAAACAACTATTAGATAAACTATTTATAATGTCAGTGACAAACAGTAAAACTGTAAGAAAAAAGCCAATAACCCAGAAGAAAAATGGGCAAAAAAGGAAATCAAGTAATTCAAATGTATAACAAGATGTTCAGTATCACTCATAAAGCCAGAAATAAAATTTAACCCTACAATGAAATTCCATTTTTTTTTAACCTTTCAGATACAAACGTGATTAATTCCCTCCTGGAGGTAAGCCTGAACACTAAGAACTATGTGAGCGGGTAGGATCGCTGTGCACCCAGGACAAACACACATGACCATTCGGTCCCACCAATCCCCCTTAAGGAAGTTATCTTACAGATGCTCACCAATGTGTAAATTATACGCGGCTAATAAAAGTGAATAATGTCACTTAACGGATAACTGATTAAATAAGAGTGCACCTTATACTAGAACACTATGCATATAGATGCTCACCAATGTGTAAATTATACGCGGCTAATAAAAGTGAATAATGTCACTTAACGGATAACTGATTAAATAAGAGTGCACCTTATACTAGAACACTATGCATATAGATGCTCACCAATGTGTAAATTATACGCGGCTAATAAAAGTGAATAATGTCACTTAACGGATAACTGATTAAATAAGAGTGCACCTTATACTAGAACACTATGCATATAGATACTCACCAATGTATAAATTATACTCAGCTAATGAACAGTGAATAATGTCACTTAACGGATAACTGATTAAATAAGAGTGGACCATATACTAGAACAGTATGCATTTTAGTTTGCTTTCATAAGAATGGAGAACAACACTACATGTTGATATAGAAAGCATTCCAAGTCAGAACACAAAGTTTAAACAAGACAAGCAGGAGCACACAAGCATGACGACCTCTGCACAGAATGACACACACATTTGCTTGTGTATAAAACACCCTCCAAAAGATACCCTAGAAGTTAGCAATGTATTAGATTAATCTGAAATTCCATCAATTCTAACATGTACAATTATTTTACGGCCCAAAAAGAACAAGTATCACCAATTAAACTATGACCATATTCTTTATCATATAGAACTGTATCTTATTCTTCTTGAGTGATTCTTTTAGATTTGATACAAATATCATTTAATCACATCTGTGCTTAAATAAAAAGGAAAATATTTGTAAAATAGATTGTCTTTAGATGTGAAACCTGACTCTTCTGAAGCATTTTCAACTCATTTGTCAATAAATGCTCGATTACTGTCTCTGATATTCCTCCAAGCTGTGTAACAGGGTAATCCTTTGCATGTATCTCAGTAATACAACTGAAAACTTTCCAAAAACCTGGAGTTGTTTTATCTAATTTTCAGGGTCTCCTTTTTTCAGGTTCTGCTAAGTAGCCCTACTCACACTTTACTGAGCATACAGATCTTTTTAACATTTGACCTGTCTGCTTTTATTTATATCTGTCTATATATTTCCAATGTATTACTTGGCATGCAATAAAGTTATTTTTATTTACTCATAATTCTGTGGCTTTTGAAAATGCACAGAATCATGCAACCACCACCCAAATCAGGATACAGAATAGTTCTGAACCCCCAAATTCCTCATGCCGTTTCTTTGCAGTCAAGCCTCCTCACACACCCAGTCCCAAGGATCAGTGAGTGACTCCCTACTCCTGTAAGCGCTGCCTTTCCTAGACTGTCACAGAATGAATCATACCGTCATAATCTTTTAATCAGGCTTCTTACTCTTTGCACAACTCATTTAGATTCATTCATGTTGTTATGAGTTTATCAATTAGGAACTAGACTTAACTGAAAAACAGATAATCCTTAGTATAGAAGGCTTTATTAAAAAATATTATTAGCTACATCTTTCTGATTAATCTTTTTGATCAGGAACTAAAGGCACAAAGCCATTTAGTTATAATTTTTATACACTTGAGATACACACTCATCAACAAAGGAACAAGAATAGTCTTTATTTATTCTTTAATCTTAAAGACAGAAAACTATAGTTTGAAGATGGTGTGACATAAAGCAAGGAATTACGTTATTAATTATACTAAGTTTCCCCTTTTAGAGAATTAAGTTACCATATAACACAGTCACTGTTAAATATGTAATACAATATAATTCCTACCTGATCATCATCTTCTACAACCACCAATGTTAGTTTATTCTTCTTAAAATCCAATCTGGTTATCTTGGGCCTATAACAATATGAGCATAACAGTCAGATTTCAAATAAATGTCCTAGAAGTTTAAAAATTTGCTGTTACTTCAAGTACATTGATCATCTAACTTCTGAATTGAAAGCTGGTAGAGGGTAAACATAACCTGTACTGCTCAGCAAAAACATCTCCAATCTAAAAAATAGTCAAGAGACCAGAAAAAAATTTCAAAAGCAATACCTTTGGCAAAACTTATGCTGCATATATATAAGACATTAAAAGGGTTAAGGAAAAAATAAACTGAAGAAACATATATATATACACACACACATATATATATACACACACGCACCATATATATCCACAGGTTCCTATGGTAGAAGAAACTCTCCAAGCCTAATAATGCTACAGCAGCAGCACACCAAGTGGACGCAGGAAGAAAGAGAAAAGCTTTCTAAAGGCCTTAAAAAACCCAGATTACTGATTTTCAGCTCTTTTCTATAGCCACTTTATGGTCAAAGACATCTTTAATTAAAAAAATAAAAAACGTAAACCTCACTTCATGGCCTACTTTCCAACCCATCTCCCCCTGTACTAAAATCCTAAGCAACCCACCAAACTTATCTCTGTGCTTCTATGAACTGTGAGTGTGAAAACAATAAGACTCTCACTAATTTTTAAATATACCTTACATAAAATAGAATTGCACAATAGATCCTGTTTACAAAAGCTGTACTAAAACAAGGAGTGGAGAAATGTCATAGGAGAATCTGGCACTTAGGTGTAACAAATTCTTACACAATGCTGAGTAAGTGGCAGGTGCTCTCCCAAGTGTTTTATGTGGTCTATTAATTCAATAGATTTTTATGAGGTAGTACACAAGATGCTCTCCTTATCTCTTGACCTGGAGTTTTTCTGCCATAAGAATGTTTCATCTGCCCCATGGCAGGCTGGAAAGGTCAGAGAGTTAACACATAAAGAACGAGGGAAATACACAGCCCATCAAGGGACAATTATAAAAACGTGTTACATTCAAATCTCCTAGGGAATCTCTAGGAGATGCACACATAAATGAAATACTATCTTCAATTTTTTGAGGGAAAATAATTTTAAATCTAAAAGTCCATTCTCAGCCCAATTATCAAGAAAGCACAAAAGAAGACTAAATAATTTTAAGGCATCCAAGGATTAAAATAATTTACCTCTTAAGCGTCACCTGAGGATATATATCAGAAAACAAAAGCAAAGAAAGGAAAATGTGGAAGACAACATAGATTCATAACTGAGGAAACAGGAAAAAGAAGTCCCAAGACAAAGAGCAGCCTGGAAGAGTCAATAGTTACAACTGGAAAAGAGCCATCTCAGGAATTCGAAATAATTTAAGATGCTGGCAAAGATTGAAGGTGGGAGGAGAAGGGGACGACAGAAGATAAGATGGTTGGATGGCATCACCGACTCAATGGACGTGAGTTATGAGTAAACTCCGGGACTTGGTGATGGACAGGGAGGCCGGGAGTGCTGCAGTCCATGGGGTCGCAAAGAGTCGGACACGACTGAGTGACTGAACTGAACTGAAGACGACAAAGGCAGGCCACTTAAAGGGATGTGTGGGATGAGTAAGAGCTAAGGCTCTAGGATAACAAAGGAAACATAATCCCAGTTGAGTTCAAGGATTTCAGAGCTCATCAAGAAAAAGCCAGGAGCAAAGACAACAGTATCACACAATAAGCTCTCCTGAGAAGTATCCCTTCATATCGCAGACCTTCCCAAGAAAGCAGCCCAGGCCCCCATGCAGGACAGAAGAAGCAGAAGAAGGTCCCTGAGGAAGGAGGGGGGCCAGGGATGGGTTTCTCCCCAGAGAGGCCTCTGAGGCACAGAGCTCCAAATGGCATCAGAGGTGTGGGGGCTCTTAGAGCTACAGGATTTGCTTATCTAGAGCCAGCTAACAGATGTGAAGTGCAGTGTGCAATGAGACATGCAAACCATGCAGCCTCTGAAAGGCTAAACTATTACTTGCTGGCCTATATTTAAAGCAACTGGGTGTGTAAGAATTTGAGTTTGGCACTGGCAGACTTCAAGTGAAGGGTCCTGACGTGCTTTGAAGGAGGAAACAACAGAGGAACAGACAAACTAGTATATTATACAAGAACCCTCTTCAGCCCCTGCATATAACCCCAGTGTACTACTAAGCTTCACACCAGTTCCAACAAAGACATTATAATATAAAAACTATTTCCTGATTTTCAGCTTTTAGAAGCAACCAAAAAAAAAGCTAAAGAACTTAATTATGGTTATGAAATCCAAGTAATATCTATCCTTAATGTAAAAGTAACATGCAAATATAATTGAAACATATGGATGACAGAAGTTGGGACTCAGAAAGAGAAGCACAGCTCCAGAGGAGGATAAAAGTATTAGTATCTCCTTCCTATACAGTGAGGGGCAGGATTTCCTGGTAGCTCAGCTAGTGAAGAATCCGTATGCAATGCAGGAGACCCAGGTTCAGTTCCTGGGTAGGGACGCTCTCCTGGAGAAAGGACGGGCACCCACGCCAGTACTCTTGAGCTTCCCTGGTGGCTCAGGCGGTAAAGAACCCATGGGAGAGCCGGGTTCAATCCCTGGATTGGGAAGATCCCCTGGAGGAGGGCATGGCAACCCACTCCAGTATTCTTGCCTGGACAGAGGAGCCTGGCCAGCCACAGTCCATGGGGTCGCAAAGAGTCAGACAGGACCAAGTGACTAAGCACAGCACAGCATACAGTGAGGAGCAGGGAGTAAACGGATCCCTGTGGAACAAGAAACACTAAAACAGACACATAACCACATGACAGAGGGCATGTCCATGTCAACAGCTAATACACAGAACCAGATAGTATTTATGCTAAGGTATGTATTTTGGCATATGTTGAAACTAACAGAAAATGCAATTCAGAGTTTTAAAAACTGGCTTGGGGAAGCAGGACTACAGATGAATAGGAGAGAGTTGCAATTCACTTTCAAGCTTGTCAGAACTATGTCCAAATTCTATTTTATGGTCTAACTTCATATAAGTGTTTTTTATTCATTTAAAAAACAGAACAACAGTAATTATCTTTGACATTAACTCTGCTTACCAAAAAAATAAGCCAATTTTGGTCTCTCCTTCAAAAACAAGGACTCCTGTTGGGGTCAGTCCCAAGCTGTAGTCATTCCCATCTCTGGCCTAATTTCAGGGGAGCAACATATGTTAGCTTTATCTGCATAAAACAGGGTTCACATTTTCACAGGACTGTTTTTCTTTTCATACTGAATTATATTAATTACACAGAGGTTAATATTAATGTGAAAGGTGCTTTCAACAATTAAAACATCCAAAATAACATTTTCAGGAAAACTCATGCATATGTAGTTCATTGAGACACTATAGTTTTAAGGTATGTGTTCACTGGCAGACATACAGGTAGTGACACTATCACACCAAATTTCCAGAGTCTTCCCAAATCCTAGTCACTATTTAAATCACAGATTTTGAAAAAGACTGCATTTCTGGGAAAATTGAGCTTTTAAAACTAAAAATAACAAATCACTCCATAAGTTATACTAGACTAGAGCTTATCAATGGAGAAGAACATGGCAACCCACTCCAGTATTCTTGCCTGGAGAAAGAATCCTATGGACAGAAGTTCCCTCAGGCTAAAAGTCAATAGGGTCACAAAGAGTCAGACATGACTGAATAGACTTAGTATGCACGCAGGCACAGCTTATCAAAGTCCCCTCAAGCTACAAATTTTCAACTTTACCTTCTAAATTATTTTCATCTTTACAGAGCCTACTCAAGCTTACATGATAAAAGATGATATTAATATGAAGTGAAAGAATAAAAAGTGATTCAAAAACTAAAAAAAAAACAGTGATAACTTAAAACCACACACACACCTTTTTGGAAATTGTGGCTGTCTTCTTTCTTATAACAAGTTTTTGTGTGAGACTCTCATCATTCAGTATCTACTCTCAATCTTCATAACCACACATCCAAAGCGCACAGTATAGCCCCTGCAAATTACACACTCTCCTTCACACCAAGAGATACCATAGCTACTTTGAGTCTTACAGGAATAACTTCCTTAGAAAGCGCCCCGACACAGAGCTCACCTTGACCACATGCATGTCAACCCCATACATTTCCAGCCACTTGGCTTTGTTCAGATAATTGGTTTCAGCCTGCGCTGGTGTCTGACCCCTGAAATTTAAAAACAACACCTTTTAAGATGATTACAAATATACAAGGAATTCTATGCTAAGTAAGAAAAACAGAAGAAAATAAACGTGGAATCACTGTTGTGGTGATGTTAAAGTACCTGTATTCTTTCCATTTCTCAAATATAGCGAGCTCCATCTCTTCCGTCTGAACAGGCACAAACCTGAACTCAGACACGAGTTCAGGACTGTGCTCAGCAAGGTCGTAGTCTCCCAGTTCAGCTACAAATGGTAAGTTCCACAAGGTTATGTTTTGTTGGTAAGTTTACTTCCTGCTGAATCCTTCTTCAAAACCCACTTATTAATAGAAGATTAGACTTTCTTAAACTACAAGGCATTCATAACACCCAGACCATTACCAAAAATAAATCCACCTTAGACTTGTGACTTATCTGTCTGTATGCACAAATCACAATTGTGCCTAGTAGTATATTTTCAATTAAATGTCTTACTCCTAACTGAGTCATACTGTATGATGCTTAGCTTTTGAAAATCTCTTTTAGCCTTCCACAGAGAAATAGCTTTTGACTGTATATTGAATAAACAAAAATATTCAGCAATCCTTTAAAAAAAACAATTAGCTAGCATCAGCGAAGAAGCTATTATGCACAGAACATGACATCAAACATCATTGTAAGATATAATCACTGCCCCCCTGGAATTTTAAATTATTAATCCCAAAGAAATAAAAAAGAAAAGTACTGGATAGTGCAGACACATTTATGCGCCCATCTGTGGTTACCTCTGAACGGGGTTTGGGGATGGAGGGAAAATGATGATTCTCATTTTCTGTTCTTTAGAAAATCTTCCTTTAAAAAATATTTTACTTATATTAAATTAAAACACTTCAATTTTGATAAAAAATTCGGCCATGGAGAGAAAAAGTACGTGAGTCCTACTTTGAGATAATCATAAAAATGGTAATAACTGTTTACCAAGCATCTACTTTACACAATAGTCATATTGCAGACATACTGTCATTTAACTTCACAACAACCTTGGAAAATATTCTCACCCCCACTTCACTGCTAAAGAAATTGCTCTTCTGCCTGGAACATAAGTTTGTTTTTTCTTTTTAACTTTTTATTTTATATTGGAGTACAGCCAATTAACAATGCTGTGCTAGTTTCTGGCAGACAGCAGTGACTCAGCCATACATTACATGTACCCATTCTCCCCCAGACGCCCCTGCCTCTAGGCTGCCACCTAATGCTGAGCAGAGGTCCCTGTGTTATTCAGCAGATCCTTGTTGGTTGTTCATTTCAAATACAGCAGTGTGTACATGGACCCCAAACTCCCTAACTACCCCTTCCTCCATTCACCCCCTCCTGGCAACATAAGTAGAACACAGGTTCTTTAAAAGCCCCAAACTAAATCTGCTACATAATGCTGTTCAGGATATACACTAATACGGTGTAGAAAAACTAAGCTTGAGTGTGTGATAAAACTGACAAAGATTATTCTGATGAAACAGAAAACCATATATGAGGGCTTCTATGGTGGGCCTTAACGACTCCACACTTCCACTGCAGGGAGCACAGGTTCGATCCTTGGTTGGGGAAGTTTCACGTGCCACAAGGTGTGGGCAAAAAAAAAAGTCATAAACAAGAAGCAAGGAGCTAATTTTATGAAGAGTGAGTAACACTTCAGTTAATTTACTCTTAAGGACCTTAATAATCAGTAGGATTTGGTAACCTATTAGACACAGGACAACGAGATGCATAAGACACAGTATGAAGTTTCGAGGAATCACAAAAACAACTGCACCACGCCCACCCTGCAGCCACAGTGTCAGGTGAGTATGAGCAGCTCTCCTCGGAGGCCCTGAGGGCTGCCCGTATTTGTGCCAGTAAGTACATGGCGAAAAGCTGTGGCAAAGACGGTTTTCACATCGGAGTGGGCTCCATCCCTTGCACCATGCTGTCCTGCACTGGAGCTGATAAGCTCCAGACAGGCATGCAGGGTACCTTTGGAAAGCCCAGGGCACAGAGGCTAGGGTCCGCATTGGCCAAATCATAATGTCAAGCTGCAGAACACGGAGCTTGAGATTGAGGCCCTACTGAGAGGCAAGTTCAAGTTTCTTGGCTTCTAATAGATCCACATCTCCAAGAAGGTGTATTTACTAAGTTTAATATGGATGAATTTGAAAATACAGCTCATCCCAGATAGCTGTGGGGTCAAATACATCCCTAATTGTGACCCCCTGGACAAATGGTGGGCCCTGCACTCATGAGAGCCCTGGCACTGTCCCCTCCTTACTCGTGTCCACTCCTGTCTCCCGCCCAAAAAAAATGGTAACCATGGATAAAAGAGAAAGTAAGAAAGAGAGTTTATTTAGGGAAAAAAATATAAATAGGGTTAAGAGACAATATAACAGAGCTATATGCATGAATCAGACAGTAAATATTTAGTGAGCATTACTTTAAGTGTTTTGTTAAACACACAAACATGCACAAAGATCATTTTCAAGAAGTATAAACTTTGGCTGCCATGAAACTTACAAAATGAGACACAGAATGTATGAAGCCATAAGTGATGGAACACAGATATTGAAAATGACAGCTTTTCTATAGATCCGAGAGTTTCAGAATTCTCACACAGCAATTAGTAGAACATTAAAAATGTGCTTTCAAAAAACGATGCGTGCAATTATGCACTGTGATCATTACAGTTCTAAAGGTACAGCACTTCCAAATAGTATCCATTCAACATTGCAGCAAGAATGTTTCTCTCCAGCAAGAGAAAACAAATTTTAGTCTGTAGACAGACTACAATTTACATTAGCAGCAAATTTCTGAAGTACAGAAATTTCTTTCAGCCACCAATTACTCTATCAACAGAAAAATATGCTTTCCAAAATAGAAGTACAAAATTAGCAGATTAGGTTTACCATAAAACATGAAAATTTAGTCTATTAGCCATACAATGGAAAATAAATACTACTGATTTAGAGAGGTTGGGGATAATACAGAATCACCCCCCAAAAAGCATAAAATTATTAATGTCTTAATTATTAAATATTATTTTCATTCTAGTATATACAGATACTCCAGCCAAAATGTTTCTTTCCATTTTATGAACAAAGGCAAATTATTATTTTCCTAAAATGTCAATTTTTTCAGAAGAAAAATGCCTAAGTTTAACAAATATTTGATCAGTGTAACAAGGTACAAAAGGGTAAGTTTTTCATTAATCTCATTGACTAGAAAACACTTTTAAAAAAATTCTTACAATAACCATCAAGAACTTCTAAATACATGCTAGTATTTCTTTTCATGGACTGATTCTTAAGAATAAGACAAAAGTAAGCAGGCCAGGTGGCGACAGCAACAATTTACTCATACATCATGCATTCTTTCTAAAAAGAAAAAATTTGCTGAGGGTCCAACCATATCATGTATTGAATTATCAAGTAGACTGCAAATTCTGCTTGAAAATACTATTGGACAGAAAGGCAGCAAATAAATGGAAGGAAAAGAAGGCACTGCTCTGAAACAAGGGAGTCAGAGCTGGATACTGATGCAAGATTACACAAACACAGGTGTTTCTTTTCTGGCATGTCACTATGAATCTTCTGAGAGGCTTCAAACACACACAAAGAAGAATTATGCTTCACTCTTAACAGTGGACATAAAAACTGCTTACCTTGCAAGTTATAAGCTGCCAACTGAACCGCTGTATCAAAGGGACACTCTAATCTGAGACCAAAACATAAATGTGTTAAATGAGCCAATGTCACAACCCCTGTTTTATGATAAATGGAAACAAGACATACTTTATGTTGACTGCTTCTTTTTCATATTTAACTATGAACTTATTTTTTCAACTACTCAAGAAAACATGGTTTACCTTAAACTAATACTCACTTTCCACTGAGAATATCTTGTTTTAACTGAAGAACAAATAAATACCTAAGAAAAATAAAAGGCACAAATTTTACTAAACAGAACAATCTACCGTGAAAAATAATCCTGCCCTTCTAATTTGAGAAGAAACATTCTAAATTACAAAACTTTACCCACAATAAAGTCTATAAAGGAAAAAGAATATGAAACAAGGGGCATTCAACACCAGAAGGAAGCACTGGAGTTCAGGACACTCTCAAAAGACAAGGTTTAAAGCAAATTCGTTGAGAATGAACTCTGTGATCTGACAACACAGCCGCCTCGTAAGTAAAGGGATACAGCTACATGCACACAGATGGCAGCTACGCTCTTACCCATCAGGAGAATATTCCAGAGGAAACCCTTCTGCTGGGATTCAGCAATTCAATTTTTTACTTAATAAAAGTAGTACATGTGCATGAGTCACAGAAATACAATATAGACTCAATGGATAAATACTAAGGCAAGACAAAATAAAAATAAGTTTCTGTAACTTATCTAAAGTTATTTAAGACCATTCAAGAGAAATCAGGATTCAATATTTTCATTACTCAATGGTATGTCAATAAAGAAAGTCAGGAGCCAACCTGAAATAACTCTCAGTGGCGAAAAATAGATAATTTTGAATATTAATAAACATAAAAAGGTAATATATTAAAACACGACAGCCCTGTTATTCATGAGTTGATAGTGATACTTCAGAACTCACTAGTTACTTTTGCAGGATGTTAGAGAACCAACTGTTTATTTTGAAAATTGGTAAATAAAGGAAAACATCCTACACTTAAAAAAACACTGTCTCAAAATGAAATTCACTTGTCAGGTCTCCTGTTACCAGGACAAAGTATCCATTTCATAAGCTGTCTGTAAAACTGAAGGAATTATTGAGGTAATCTTCCAACATCTTTAGCTAGTCTACCTGAAACTAGACTCTTGTATATAACTCTAGGTAGTGGTCTTACCGGGTCAGCTCTTCACGAAGGTTATTTGGTTCTGAGGAATAAAACTTAACTCGAAGATGCAGACAATAGGGTGAACCAACTGCCATTAAAAGAAAAGGGGGGGGGGGGTAATTTTTTCAATACAGCTATTTAAATAGGATTTTCAGTCAGTAAACTTGTCAAAAATCTACTGAAGTGGACAGAAGAGACTAGATTATTGAGCAATAATTGAGGTTACACTGTAGGCTTAAGCCTAACACAATCAGTAGACTTTTTAAATGTCCCAACCACCATGTCACATCACCTGTCCTCCCAAGAACAGACAGCTCCAGATGAATTCCAAAAGTTTAGGGCCAAATGTGTCAAATAAAAAAGTCTTGACTGTGTACGCTAACAGCCCTACGCAGCTGCTGAGCTGTATTTCTTGAGAGCAAAGAGAGCACGTGTTGTTAACTGAACATGGCAAATTCACTCACGTTCTTTCCAATTCACTTCAGCACTTCACTAACCTCTATATTATCAGAGATCCCATTATTTTGTAAAAAGAGTTGAGGTGCCCTAAAATCTGATGGATTTTTCTACAAAAAAACATGATGGACTATGGATTGGACACTGGTATTTTTCCCTACCGCTGGGAATAATACTAACATTTTATGTGAATAACTTCTTTTCATTAGTCTTAATAACAAAAAAAAAGTTACAGCCTTAAAGTCTCAAAATACTTTCTAAAGCAGGGCAGATACCAAACAGAGAAATTCCAATGTAACTAACTACTAAACAGAAGTTAAGCATCTCATGGGAACTCAATCTCATTTCCAAACTGCAAGCCTTTGTCCTAGAAACAAACTACAAACAAACAAACCACGTGAATCTAGATTACCATCACCCCTACATAATTTAAGGGGTGTGTCAATATATCAGATTGAAATTATTTTTAAAAAAATGGAGATGCTAAGAAGCTCATCAGAAACAGGATTTATGTCCCAACTATGAGAAACCAGTTTCTAATATGCAATTATATATAATTCAGTTTCCAATTTTTTTTCAAAAAATTTTCAACACTTACTTTTTACTTGTTTTTTGATGCTTTTTGTACCATCCAACCAATGCTGAAAACAAAAACAAAAAGTGAGCTGTTAAGCCGAGAGAGAATTTAACATTTTAATTACAAGTTAATTTTCATCATGCTTTTGCTGAAGGAAATATTTCACTAGAGAAAAACAGCAGTGAGACTAAAAATTAGGGTGCAGGTGAATGCTAATCTACCTATCCATAACACAGAAACATAGGACACATATGAACAAAAGACCTACAATCAGATACATGACTTCTTAAAAACATTTCATGTGCTCTTAGTAATAAAGATGGTATTTTTAATTTTGCCCTCAGTTTTTCTCACTGTTCCCAAAAAAAGAGGACCCTTTCAAAACTGGTAAAATTATAAGTATATATCATCATTTTCTAATTCTTAGTTCACTTTTGTAATAAAACTATGAGATTTATTAACAGATCATAACCCCAAGTTAGGTGAAATAACAATTTCACTTATTAGAAATAGATACTACTAAAGTAGTAGTCGTTGCAAAAGCTTACACTATAAAATTAGATCTTTCTCACAACCAAGACCCTATTAAACAAGCAGTCTTTGCTCCTTTGCTTTACCAAAAAAAAAAAAAAAGTAAGTCTTGATTTCTGTAACCTTTTCACTCTGAAACACAGAAAACACAAACAGATCTAAGAAGCAATTCCAGAGACTTGCACTGATAAACCATTCCTAGCCCACTTCCTACAATTAATGCCTTTACACTAACAGGGACAGGACATACTCATCCCAATAAGATACACATGACTGTGTTCTCTTCAGTATGCTACAGTCCCACGCACCCTAAACCAAAGGAGTGCTCTTGTGACACAGTTCACAGAGCTACAAAATCCAGTCAGAACTGCAGACAGGCCAAGCATGGGCAAACAAGACTTCATTGTTAACAGACTTGTAACTATTTGCTTCTCTTGCCAATTATTTGCCTAGCCTCTTCTCCCCCTTCTCTGCCAAGATCCAAAAGCGAAATTCAGAGAACCACTAATGTGCCAGCAAAGTGCCTCTGCACGTGGACACAAGATGGTCAGTAAACATTTCGAAAGGCAGTGAAATATGGTGCAGTGTCTTCTCTGGATTCAGGTGTGCAAGTTACTGAGTCAACCATCTCTCATCTTTTGATAAATTCAGCTGGATATCCATTTTTAGGAATATTTTAATCTAGCAAATGTTCAGTTTTATACATCATTCCATTATAATGCTTGGCCAGCAGCAGGCAGAATACAATTCAATCTATCAGCTGAGAAGAGTTCAACTAGGACAGTGAAAAGTTCACCCATCATGGCTAAGTGCAGGAACCTAATATTCAAATACTCTAGACTTAAATTGTGCAAAATACCTACTACAGCCTAATGGCAATCACATACTGGGTATGAGATCAATTTTACTCAATTTTACTTGCATGCCCTATACAACCAGGAATCTGGGAGTTGCCTATCTTCCCATCTATTATACTGCAATGAATTCCTAAGTGAGTGGCCGGTCAACAGGGCATGTCATGCAGCCACAGTGACAGAGATGCTCATACACGTAATGAGCACAAATAAGCACACACCTTCTGGGAGGCAATCTGATTATGCCTTAAAAATAACTATGTGGCTGGATGGCCCTAGAGACTGTTATAGGGAGTGACATTAAGTCAGAGAGAGAGAAAGAGAAATATATGACATTCCTCATATGTGGAACCTAAATAGAAAAGATACAAATGAACGTACAAAATACAGACGTAGAGAACTAACTTGTGATGGGGGGAGGGGGCAAGGATGGGGAGAAGGGACAGTTAAGGAGTCGGGGATATTCAAAATGGATAACCAGCAGGGACCTACTGTATGGCACATGGAACTCTGCTCATTGTTATGTGACAGCCTGGATGGGAGAGGAGTTTGGCGAGAATGGATTCATGTATATGGATGGCTGAGTCCCTTCTCTGTTCACCTGAAAATACTACAACATTGTTATTGGCGATACCCAGTGCAAATTAAAAAGTTAAAAAAAACCTGTGACTTTGACTCAGCAATTCTGCATCTAATAATCATTATGGATGGTTTAACTCACAAGGAATTATAATCAAAGAAAAGTAGGACAATCTGTATATCCAACAATAGTGAAGTGGTGAAATCAAGTATTTCAACATGGTAGAACTATGCAGCAATGAAAAAGAATGAAAGCAAAATAGTTAATAATCTAGAAAATTAAATAATTTTAGTTTTTATTAATTATTTTGCTTTCATTCAAATAACAACACATTATAAATTGTTTTGTCAAAATGTACAAATTTGTACAGGTTATCCTTAAACAATGAGGAGCTGACTTTCACAGGTCCACTCACATGTGGAGTTTTTTCATTAGATAAGCAGCACAGTACCATACAATCCTTGGTGGGCTGAACGCACAGATCCTGAACCCTGGACACAGAGAAGACTATGAACGTTATACAATGATTTTCAACTGCGTCCCAAACCCCAACACTGGTCATGGCTCCGCCATATATGGGCTTCCCAGGTGGCTTAGTGGTGAAGAACCTGTTTGATCCCTGGGTCAGGAAGATCCCCTGGAGGGGGAAACAGCACCCCACACCAGTATTCCTGCCTGTAAAATCCCACGGACAGAGGAGCCTGGCGGGCTACAGTCCACAGAGTCGCAAAGAGCTGGACACGACTGAGTGACTGAGCCAACACTGTACGTATAAACACAGCTTTTCTTTCAGACCGAAGCAACCTAGGAGATGTTACATCTAGATGGTTGAGATTGTTGACTATAATTTTTCTTTGTATTTTCTTATATTTTCAACTTATTCTACAACAAGCACATTTTTACACAACAATTAGGCCCCCCTTACTTTAATATTTTATATAAATATTTATAAGGTTAATTTTTTGGTAATATTAAAAGTTGTACAGTCAACAGTCCCTCCAACCTCTGCAATACCAATTTCTATCACCATATGCACTCCCTCACCTCCCAAGATTACTAGTTTCTGATTCCCTCAAGTTTCTTCAAAGGAAAAAAAAAAACCTGTGTGTTAGTAAAGAGTAAAGACATTAACAATGGACTGGAAATCAACAGGCTGAATACAAATTTTGACAGAATAAATTGTAAGGAACCATTAACATAAGCTAGACCAACACTACTTCAAGAACAACTCAGTCTTTCTTGAACGGTTGTAACAAAATTTTTCCAGTTTAAGAACATTTATGGCTAGTCTTAAAAGCAAACCTGTAATCTCTAATTTGTGCCCTAAAAGTCTAAGAAGCACATTAAACATACAATTCTCCTGGTGAGACGAAGGTTCAGAGTTTTCTTCCAAGTAAGCATTTCAGTCTTTCTATGTGCATCTAATAGCTTCTACACTGTGCACTCCCTTAACCCAACCCAAAACTCAGATAAAGCATCAAGCACATTCTAAAGTGAAATTCAGCAACTGGGGGAGTTCCTGGTGATGCTCTGGGGAAGGTCTGAGTTCATGTTTGCATATTCTCAAGTCTGTTTTCTTTCATCTCCTCCACATTCCAAGCCCTGGGACTGGAAAATTCAGAGCTCAGAGACAGGCACTGATAGTATTTTCTCTGAATCAAGGCCTTTAGGGGTTGAGTTAAATTACAGCAGAAGATAAAGGTGAGAACATGCAGATATAGACTTTTGGATGCACAGAGTGAAGCTCATATGGCTCTTCTTCCTCATGTACATTAAAAACAAAATAAATCGCCTAATTTCCTAAAGTGTGGTAGGTAAACTTAGAATTCAAAGAACATGGGAAGCTACACTTATTTCCATCCTATTGAGCTAGGATCAAAAGAACAATTATTTACTTGTGTACCTTAAAATATAAATAATATGTAATCACAAGCATAACAGCCATAGCTAAACCATACAGAGTCACCTAGGAAGCTTCCAAAACACTACCATACATACACCCTCACCTCGGGCCCTACAGTTCTTCAAATGAATGACTCCTGACTTCTAACACCTACACAGCTAGCAGCAGATACACCACTTTTGCTCAAAGGGCAAAAAGCTGGTGGTAGAGAAATGTAAGTCATCTTTCCAGACAACTGCCTCTGCAAAAAATATTTCTCCTGGCTCATGCTCTACATTAAATTATTACTTTAAAGCAAATTTTAACACTTTAACCAATTAACAAATGTTAAAAATCAATGCCATGAAAACAGAAGATCAATCTAACTGAAAACACTTCAATTTACTTTCGATTCCATCATAAATTCTACCTGGGGGATTACTCTTCTGGTGATAAAAGTCTGTGCTGGGCTTCCCTGGTAGTTCAGTCATAAAGAATCCGCCTGCCAATACAAGAGACACAGTTTTGACCCCTGATCTGGGAACATCCCACATGCCACACAGCACCTAAGTCCGTATGCCACAACTACTGGACGTGGAGTCTAGAGCCTGGTTACCGCAACTGCTGAGGCCTCGCGCTGCACCTGCTGAAGCCGCAAGCCCTGCCACCTGTGCTTCACAACAAGGACGCCACTGGAGGGAAGCCTGCGAAACAGAGCAGCCTGGCTCACAGCAACTAGAGAAAAGCCAACACAGCAAGCAAGACCGAGCAGAGCCAAAGAGAAAGAAATAAAATTCTTTTTTTTTAAAGTTCTGTATTATAAAAAATTCCAAATGCAGGCCTGAAAGAGCCATTAGAATATATTTCCCACAATACCTTTCTGTGTATTATTAGTACGCCTTCTTAGGAATCTTGAAAGTCAAATTTATAATGGAGATGTAATGGAGTTAAGCAGACTATACATCCACTCTATGGAAATAAGAGCACATAACTATTTCAGAAATATACTTATTTTAACAAAAACAGTTCCTCCTTGTTTAGCAAATATATGTGCCTATGTGTGTGTGTTTCTTACAATATAGAATATATATGCATACTTAACATATAGGTTATTTCTATGTATTTTTCACTCCCCACTACTTCACTGAATTTTATTAAGCTCTCAGTAACAATCCCATCCAATCAGCTGCCAACAGTGATCATTTCACCTCCTCCTT